TGCAGAGTCTCAGTATACCGTGAGCTGTAGCTCCCTATATACTGAGCCTAGGGTGACGGGAGGATCGGTCAGGGGAGGGGGGAATCCAGTCACTCCCCTGTCACGGCTCTCTGCAGGGATAGTTTAAGAAGTGAGCGAGTGCAGGTATGTGTTCGCTTACCTCCCGATCTACTGAGCCGACCTGTGAAAGTTTCATTGTCACAGGTCGGCTCAGATTATGAGGCTGAGTGAAAAGCACTCACCTCGCAGTTCTCCTTTAACATTAATAAGTCTGACCCACCGGTCCTCTCCGTAGTGCTGTCCTGCACTTGTACTGGTGGCCCCTCAGGCTCTTGGCTCTCCCAGCCTGCTTGAAATCGGTAATGTTCATTGTTGCATTTCCCAGAGAAAAGTTTGCAGCATTTTGCTGATGAAGCCAGAAGACATAAAAACCATACGGAAGGCTGGAGGCAAGAGAAATGAGGAGAGAAGCCACAATAAAATGAGGGACAAGCCTGGAGATCCTTGTCTTCATGAGGATGAACAATGTGCAGCTGTAGCTTGCAATCTTCAGACAGTAAAACACACACAGGACAGTGGTGATCCAGAGATTGGCATAGTGCAGTACCATTCCTGATAACCAAATTGCCAAAGAAAAAATATTTCCACTTGTCCAATGAAAATACGTATGCAGAAAATGATCGAGCAACACAATGGTCAGAAAAAGGCTTCTGGAGATCCCCAGACAGGTGAGGATCCTGTCGCAGGTTTCCAGAGACTTCAGTGCCTTCCACTTGTTGAACTGCATGGCCACAATAAACATATTTATGACGACCCCCATAAAGCACTCGGCAAGCAGCACAGCCATGAATACCTGGAGTAAGAAATTCATTGTGGAGAATGATATCTTCCTTCCGAGATAGATGTTATGTACAGGCTTTGGGCTGCAGAGTCGTGTATCAGGCTGCGTGCGATGATTTGGTTATACTGGATTGGAATGTAAAGACCGGCTTCACGTCTTGCATGTAAATTAGCCAGTCGTGTTTCCTCCGCATTCAAATCTCAGAACCGAATGGAATATTGCAATGTATCACACACAGGCCTCTGACATCAGACTGATTGCTTTATTCTGCAGCCAGGCAAAACTTTGAACCACAATTTGCACAAACTGAGACACATCAGACAAGTGTAACAGTTTGTGCATGGTTTAACCCATCAATAGCCAAGAAATACTATAAAATTCAAGCGTGTGTAGCCACGCTGCCCTTAGCTGCTGTCAGACTCTAGTCAGCCCAATCCTGATTTAATAGTTTGTGCTTGTCACAGTCTGGGAACCGGGGCTCTGGGGATCATGAGATCATGAGCAGGGAACAGGCTAGGAACACAAATCTTGGGGTAGTGAGAGGGTACTGGGTACTCTAATCGCAGGCAGGGCCGGCCTTTGGGGTATTCGAGCTGTGCCGCCGCATTGGGCGCCATGGCAACAAGGGCGCCAGGCGGCCGACACAGCTCGCCCTTGGGGCGGGTACAACCTGCGACCTCTGCGGCTCCTCTCCTCCTCACCGCTCGGCCATCCGATATGATGACACCGCTTCAGC